GTGTCGCCTACGTCATGATCCGAGCCGCCACCGGTGCGAAGAATTTCGAGAAGTCTGAGGATCCCCTCTTTGTCCTCGAAAACAACTTGCCCATCGACACGCGTTACTACCTGGACAACCAACTGGCGAAGCCACTGGGCAGAATTTTCGAGCCTATCTTAGGCGAGAAGAAAGCAGCCTCGTTGCTCACTGGTGATCACACACGTTCCATCACCGTTGCGGCACCCACCATGGGTGGTTTGATGAAGTTCGCCAAGAAGACATCAACATGCATGGGATGCAAGAAGCCACTTACCGCTGCGCATGAGAAGGACGGCGCCGTTTGTGAGAACTGCCGACCTCGTATCGCCGAGCTCTACACAAAGACGCTAGGCAAAGTCAGTGAGCTCGAGGTCCGCTTCTCACGTCTTTGGACCCAATGCCAGCGATGCCAGGGCAGTGTTCACTGTGAAGTTATCTGCGCATCCAAGGATTGTCCGATTTTTTACATGCGCATGAAGGCGAGGAAGGATGTTGAAGATGCAGGCAAAGAGCTTGTGCGTTTCGACAAGGACGCGGCGCTGTGGTAATCGGTTGGCATCATTCGAATAGCATGTAATAAGTGTGCGGTGTTTTTGGCGTTTCGATGGCATGGATATCCGTCTGTACAAATATGGGGGCTCACTAAGCATGTTTCAGATGCGTAGCGATATCAGCATGTATACTTCTCAATGAATATTGTTGCAGTCACTTGTTGCATTTCTTTGTCTTGCGATTGTTCCAGTGAAGACGCCGAAGCGCATTCAACCTTCCTCGACGCTTCTTTCCCTCTCAGTGCTGACTCTGTCAGCCACAGTTCGTTCCCCTTCTGGTGCTCCTCACACATCACCACAACACAACCTCAATGCCTTGAACTTGGAATTACGAACGCATCAGCGCCACACGCACTCGAAACCTCTCGCTCCTCCACTACCAAACCCCACCTGTCCACGCGCTTGCCCCTCATCCAGATCATGCGTCTCACAGCTCTCCAGGCCAGCAACCAACATCTGGAAACTCCACAGGAAAGCCTGGAAGAGCATGGTCTCTTTCTGCTGTCCGAGCAGTCTCGCAATGACCTCCTGCATCTCTATAGAAGTAGTCCTGATTGCTGCTGCGTACTGAGTCTCAAAGGCAGTGTAGGCTACGACGTAGGCGTTGTTTTGGGTAATGTAGAGGTCTTTGAGCATAATTTGGTGGGCGCGGAGCGTGGTGAGGAGGGCTGAGGAGGATTTGGCTTCTGGAAGCAAGGGTGGTGAGAGCGTGGTTGGGTGAGAAGCTGTGGGCGCTGGTATGCTATGTTGGGGGTCGGACATTGTGGTGGCGGTGGTGGTGATCTTTGGATCTGGGATCAGCTTTGGAGCTGCAGGAATATCTGAAGTGGCGAAAGTAGGCGATGTCACGGCTGTGTTCAAGGCTGAGGGGAGTGGGTGCGCGCGAAACCGAGAATCGGAGTGAAATGGCGGCATATGCAAAACGATCTTCATTGCCTGGCCAGAAGGGTTTGGGTAGCCGTGATGTATGTACTAGCTCATATTGGACGATGCTCTCGGATTTCTCGGTGGTAGAGTGTTCGTCTCTGAGGGGGTATCGAAATTCCTTCTTGGTGGTAACCAATCTAGGCTTGTCTTGTTGTCCGCCGCGAAATCTTCTTCGCTGCTACGTGTAACATTCCAGTGTTTTTCCCGCCTAGAAGTCCTATCCCTGCTACTGCCAGTGGTAACAGCATCCATCTTGATCGTGCCTGCATTATTCTGGTCTGCTCCAGATTCACTTGGGCTATGCCGCACGTATCCGTTCGTATCGTAGGATATGCTAGGCGTGTGGGCACGGCGAAAGAACACAGCAAACGCAGGGCAGCAACCAATACAGATAGCTACAGATGACTCAATGAGCGTCCAGAACGCTAGCCAGATCGGACTGGGTGCTGTGCTTTCTCCAGACTTTCTGCCGACCTGTATAACGCGCAGAGTGGCGAAGGTGATGCAAACGAAGCCAGATGCGAAGAGTGCGATGATAGCGATCTTCTGCGCGCGTACCATCTGAAGGTTCCAGACAAGTCGGATTGGTAAAAACATGACTAGCAGCATTAATACCAACATATTTAGTAGGAAGGATACATCACATACTCATGAGGTCTGATAGGATATCGACAGCGTAGGACATGTACAGGCTAACGAGCTGGGCACGAATGTTTCGGGGGGTATTTGGGCAGTCTCCTCTGGCTACCAAGGCGGTGAAGTCGGGACAAGAAGTAAGATAAGAAGCGATACAGCCGAGAACAGACTACATCGGAGGTTTTAGTGTGGTTAAGGAGCATGCGATAACATAGACTTACAACGATGCAAAATGTGAATACTGCCCACCAAAGTCTTGTCCATACACGCGGAAGGCCCTCTAGTAACTTTTTGTACAGTGCTAACAGAGACAGCTTGATCGACCATAGCGTTAACCAAAACAGTACAGTGGTAACGAACACGATCCGAACGTTGAGGACGAAGTCGGACTGGAATGTTGGCCAAGGTTCAAGTGATCCTACCAGAACCTTTGAAATGTCGAAGATCGTAGAAATGTTAACAAGGTAGCATATCGACAAGGCGAGGAACAATGCAAAAGCCAGGTACATGAGATAGTCTTGCAACTCCATAGCTTTGCGCCTCCACACCTGCACGCCTATACGTACGAGCATGATGGCTGAAGCTAATACCACCATAGCGTAAGAGGCCCGAAAGAACTCGGGCTCTGAGATGATCTCTTTGTACTGGGCAGACATGGCTCGGTGTCTGACATCGGATCGGATCGGCCGCTGACTGACCTCGGGTGTATAGAAGGAAATGCGCAATGATGATAGAAGAATGTAGTCACCACAGTAGACATCGTCCTTTTTTCTTTCTGCCTAAACAACACATATCAATCCCCAAGGTGATCAATAATCTTATGCTCAAAGAGCGGCCAGCTGCAGCATAGATCTAGAAAAGCAGGTCCCCATAAAGTGCGGCACAGTACATCCGTGGTGCCCTCGCGGCATGAGGCATAACAGGGGTCGGACACGGCCCGGCGTGGGAAGCGAATTAGGTCGATTCCTCTCAGGTTGGGGCCAAATCCTTGAGGCTCGGTTAGCAGATGGTCAATCTAGAATTGAATCCTACGGTGGCGATATCTAGGTGTGGACATAACAGCCGTCCAAGAGCTTCGGCCCCGGCCGTCGCGAGCGAAAACTTAGTCTTGTTCGTATATGTAGAGCGTTCCAAGTCAAGCTAAATGATGTTTCTGAACGGGATGCGTTCTGGCATCCCAACAATATGTAATGGGGTGATGTGAGTCATGCTGCGATGCGTCTCGCATCGTGCTATGAGAGCGGCGAAGCTTAAACGCCACTTCGGATGTTCTGGCGGATGCAGGAACGTTAGTGCCGCTAGGTAAAACAAGGGGCTGTGCCGCACGGGCGGGGCTTATCTAGGCCGTGGTGGCATTGGCGGAGACACCCCAACCTCACGAGCCAGCAGCCCACATATCATTTAGCCACCACTTCCATACCAGCACACGTATACACATCTTCCCACGACTGTCGTCACAAAATATGTATACCTGAGTTCTTTTCAGTACTGAGTCATTTGCGCATTCACCGGTCCGAGCGAGCGTGTCTCTCCGCAAACTCATCTTCACCTGCGGGCGTCTTTTGAACGGGTGCTATGATGCGAAGGATGCTGCCGTGTGCAGTGGGGTCATGCAGACCAGGGGAAGAGAACTATATGCATGTAACGTGAGCGTTGGCATGGATCTCGGTAATACCGCCTCTTCGTCATTTTAGTTCAGACCCAGAAGCGCGATGTACGAAGTGAGTGTATGTCTCACACGCAGTCCGTACATGGGAGATTTTACCCACGCAGGAACGAAGACCATGACTGCCAGACTTTTGGACCCGATTGACAAGCGTCGCAAACTACGGATGTATAGAAAAGCACACCCATGGAAATATTCAAAAGATGGTGTTTAGTTCATCTAAACCTACATGTTGAGATCTTCAGTGGACTAGAAACAGACAGGGGTTCAGCTGACTCATCCCGAGGTCTTCGATGTACACATGTGCACTGCATGCCAGCTTACCCTTTCTAAGACTGAAGGCATATACAAGGATAGAACCGCCAACAAGCCCGTCGATGTCGGGCCACAGCATCCCCCGCGCCCGGCACATCGCCGAGAATTCGCACGTAAGGTTGGAATGATAAAAGGATCTCGTTCCCTAGTACTGGGTCGCAACCACCATCATTACAGATTCCTTCCTGTGATTGTGCAGCGTTCTTCCTGCGCCCAGCACCTTCGTGTCACATTCGGGCAATTCTTTTCGTAAACCCTGTTCGTAGATCGACCCTGCTTTTCCGTTCGAAAGGATGAAGTACGCCGTCTCATCTGCTGCCTTGGTGGCAGGCGTTGTATCCCAAGCTACCTTCGAAGCCGCAGACTTCAATGTGACTGAGGCGTTACTAAAAAATGGTGTTGATGTCTCTGCTTTACCCGAGGTTGCACCTTCAGCAGAGAGATCCTTATTGGATGGCTGCTCTATCGCCGTAAGTACTGATTAACGACCATGCAAAATTCGTAAAGACTAACATGTCGTCAGTGTAACTCGTTGAAGTTGATCTTTGGTGACGACCAAGTCGAGACACAGTCAGAAGCCGCATACGATGCGTTCATCGGCGATTACTGGGCCGGCCAACAAAGAGACATCTCTCCACAATGTGTCTTCAAACCTGAGAAAGCCTTGGATGTCTCAACTTCCATCCTTCTCTCACGTCTTACGCAATGTCCTTTCGCCGCTAAGAGTGGAGGCCACTCAGCAGTACCCGGCGGCTCGAACATCGAGGGTGGTATCACGATCAGTTTCGAGAAGATGAACAAGACAACAGCATCCTCTGACAAGAAGAGCGCTACGTTCGAGCCTGGCCAAACATGGTACGACGTGTACACAAAGCTTGAGAAAGATGAAGTTGCCATCATTGGCGGTCGAGTAAGTAGGACTCTGTGAGAATAGAGAGGCGTGTCACTGATGATTGCTTAGGTTGCTAGTGTCGGTGTGGGTGGGCTAACTCTTGGCGGAGGTAAGAACCAAGATGTCACAACACTACCGATCAACATGCGCTGAACCAATCTCCAGGCATCTCATACTTCTCAAGCGAATACGGCTTGGCATGCGACAACGTCATCTCGTATGAATTGGTCACCGCTTCCGGACTTATCATCAACGTCAGCAAGGATTCGTTTCCAGACCTCTACTGGGCTCTTCGAGGGGGTGGCAACAACTTCGGTATCGTCACCAAGTTCAACGTCAATGCTATCCCCAGAGCGCCAACCATGTGGGGTGGTATGCGAGCATATTACGGAAACAAATCCGAGACTCTCATCAAGGCGTACTACAATCTCGGCATGAACGGAAAGAACGACGGAAAGGCACATCAGATCTTGTCGTTCGGCTACGGAGCTGAAGTCGGGGAGATCGCTCAGGTCGAGCTAGAATACTCGGACCCTATCACTGACGCACCAGTCCTTGCCGAGTACAATAGCATCAAGGGAGCGATCTCGGACAAAGCTGGAATCAATAGTCTCGCAAACCTTACCGCGAATCTAGCGGCCCCAGGTGCGGCTGCTCGACAGGCGTTCTGGACCTGGACGACTAAGCTTGACCTGGAGATGGCCACTCTGGCTAAAGACACCTTCTACGAGGAGCTTGACGATATCCTCGACGTACCCGGTCTTCTCGGAGCTGTTTCACTCCAGGTGCTGACAGACCCTATTATTGAGAAAAGTACCACCAATGGAGGCAATGCGCTTGGGCTCGACCCTAAGGACGGCCCTCTCATGATAGCTCTTGTTTCCATGAGTTGGGCCAACAGCGCCGACGATGACAAAATGAACAAGTTCCACGCACGCATCAAGGACCGCTGTGTGGCGACAGCCAAGGCTAAGGGAAAAGCGAACGAATATCTGTACATGAACTACGCCAGCCCGTGGCAGGATCCCGTTGCTGGATACGGTTCTGCGAACAAGGCCAGATTGCAGGCCATTTCCAAGAAGTATGATCCTACCGGTGTGTTTGAGATTCTCCAACCGGGCTATTTCAAGCTCAACGGCGCACCACGGAATGATTTGTAAAGGATTCAAATTTGCACATCTGGCATATAGTAGTCACATTCAAAAGATCCATGTTGTTCATATGATACGTTCTTCTCTCCAATCGCGCTGCTGTGATAAGCCTCTGCTTTCGTGCTCACTTCTTCTCTTTTGTCTCGGTGGTATCACTGCCGATAAACACACGTTAGCGATTATCTCGCGTTGACTGGAGGTGACCAGTCGAAGAGAAGTTTAACTGGAGTCATGAAAGAGGGTTGAGTGTTGGTTGCTGAAGTGGCAAAGACGTCGATACAACGAAGTGAAAGTGGCTTCACGTGACATCCTTTCGATCGAGATATCATCAGCCTGTATCGTGCTGGAGGCTATTTCATGGGTGCTATACGTCTTTGAATGTCTTTTACGAAGTAATCGCAGCAGTTTTGGCGCCATTGCAACATCAGATGGTCTTCAGAAGCGGTGTGCAGCCGCTCAGTGAGCGCCCACAAACGCGCAAGGACGCGAAACTTTGCTGGACCCTTTTTCTTTTCGCGACGATATCCCACACCTTATCAAGTCAATATTGGCAGCACGAACAATCTCGACATCACAAAGCTTTTCGTTCGCCCGTTACCTGCGTCCTTCCCAATCGCATCCTCACAATCGTGCCCACCGCCGCCGTCCGATCAGTCAGTACATCAACAAGCCACCGCCGAAGCCGTCACCACCAATTGCAGCTCCCCAAGACAACATGGCACCTCGTTCGCGCCTGCCTTCGCGCGATCCCCTCCTCCAAGACGAGAGCGACAGGCTCGTCTACGCGAGCAAGCGCGCCGTGGACAGACAGAACTCCGAGATCTTCAAGCTGGATGACGAGTACGAAGAGCTTCTTGATCAGGCCGAGAATGCTCGACATGAGCAAGAGAAGCTGATCGAAGCCTACCATGGCGCCGACAGCAAAGTGACCAGACTGGATGGCCAGAACAAGAGGCTGATGGCGCAGCTCGAGCTCGTGGGGGTGGAGAACGACGAGCTGAAAGCTCACAACAGCGATCTCGTCCGGCGTCTGGCGGAGAGCGAGCGAGAGAACGCTCGTCTCAAGTCTGCTGAGAAAGAGAAGAAGCGCAAGCGCGAGGACTTGCCGTCGCCGTTTGAGGAGGGTCCAGATGCGGACGAGAGCGCATCCAAGACAGAAGAGAGTTCTCAGGCCAAGGTCCATGGGGACTTGGTCCTTGGCAGGCCGAAGCCACAAGAGATGGCTGCGGCAGTACAGGAGGAGAAGCGGGCTCACAAGAGACCCAGGCGACGACGTCACCGCGATGACACAACGTATGTCAACACATATCATATTGTCGTCTTCAACTAACATTCGTGACAGCAGGTCTACTGTCAAGGCTGCTGTCGAGGTGGAGACGGATGTGGTGGAGAAGATGAATGCGTAGATACGGGAGACGCTCGAGGAGGGTGGTAGGATACTGCGTGGTGTATACGTGGATGTGTAGGATAGATAGATAGTCGTGTCAATAGTACTGAGTACCTCCCCACCGCTACATAGTATCTTGAATCCTGCGGTGTTGCAGCCATGTGGACCCCAAACTTGTGCTAATACCTCACTCTTTGAACGAAAACTCTTCCTCAATTCCATGCAACAAGGCCTGGAGATCAATGAAAAGAAAGTGTTGGGCGCGAGACACCCGGTTCACCAGATTCACACCAAAGGTTGCGACCTGACACTCGCACGATTACGACCATGAGGCAACTAGAGCCTCGAATGGCCGACCTCGCGTGTTACTCACGGGCAGCCGGAGCTGCGAGCGTGATGGGAATCCCATGCAGATGCGAGTATCATCCCATAGAATGGGTATGTACTCTGAGCGAACGATACCCACCGAGGTAGGTATGTTCAACGAACGAGAGTCAAGGACAAGAGAAGATGCAGTGCTTGCAAGCGCCGCTCCAATAACAGACCCCAGGGCTACTGGACTGTTCTGTTATAATCTCAACTTGTGAGCTTGCTGGTTGAAGTTCTTGCTGGGATCTCGCCGCACCCGAAGGCGGCGTAACAGCTGAGCCTAAAGAAGAAGAAGAGGAATTGGGCGGGAAGTCGAGTATATATGTGCGACGAGAAGACGCTAGTTAGCGAGCACGTGAGCTGTTTTCCATCGCCTGGTCGTCAGTCTGGCGGCGTAGACGCGCTGTTTGTGTGACCGATAAGTGGAGAAAGTGAAGGTGAGAAGCCGCTAGTGACGAAAGCAAGAGATCTCTAGGCAACCATTGAATCAGATACTACCGCTCAAACACCTCCGTCGAACAAGACACTTCCTTTCTTTGTCACTTCACTATCTACGCGTCCAATCAATATCATACAAGATGCCCGTCAACAACATTTCCACCCAGACAGACGACGTCACCGCTCGCGCCGACGCGACTGGCGACAGCGACTCACCCATCGACCGTAGCTCGCGGATTAATGAGCTCAAGGCGACTCAGACGTCACTCGTGGAGCTGATGTTCGATCTGGTCAAAGATAAGGCAGAAAGCGTCGGCAAGGATGAATACCTGACGCAGATGGAGAAGCGGCTGGAAGAGTTGGAGGAGACCATTCGGCAGCAGCGCGAATGTCTGGACGAGTCGGAGCGCGAGTGTCAGTCTCTGACTCTTGCAGCGAAGATGTACAAAATGAAGAGCGAGTTGTACGATCGCAGGTAGGTCCTTCCATAAGTCTTCGGGTGGCCGAGGCTAATACATTACCGTCAGTGTTACTCAAGAGACCGCCATGTCTACGCAGGTAGGCCACGAGCCTGACCTCCCTAAATGTCCCAAGCGAAGCTTGGATCAGATGCAGTAAGTACACCTGAACACATGACCGAGCTCCCACTGACATGTACAGATCCGAGAGTGACAGCCAACCTGCACCCGCCGCCAAGCGAGTCAAGGTCGCCAAGGAGCGTGTCATCGTGTGCATTTTCTGCTTCCGGAATGGCATGCGGTGTGACTCTGGGGAGCCATGTCAGAGCTGCCTGAAGAACCGTAGCAAGTGCCAGCGGGCGAGGTGTGCCAACTACAAGGCTGGCAAATGTTCCGTCCCAACTTGTACCAGGGTACATGAAGATGACGAGCGGAAGTACAAGAGGACCGTGAACGCAGGCCATGTGGGCAGGAAGGATACGGGTGGTACGTCTAAGGGCGGTCAAGGTGGCGATGGAGGAGGCAATGGCGGTGGTGCGTCAGGTGTACTAGCAAAGGTTTCTGAGAAGGCATGAGGGAGCCTGGAGGTCGTCAGCTCGACCGCGAAGATAGAAGACACCATCCCTGAAACAATGTAACCACAAACATCATCGTAGAGAACTAGGTTTGAGGATGTAAAAGTAACCGAAGGACAACACGCTTTACCATATCATAACTTCCGAAGCCTCATAATACAAAGTAGCCATCACAATAAAACCATCAACCCAGCATACTCCTCTTCCTTCCCCTCAATCTGACACCCTCTAACCTCTTTAGGACACCCCTAGCTCCCTTCCCACATTCCCCATACGCCTTGAGCACTTCCTGGAACAGCGGCTCCGCGGCGGGATGTGTGGCCGAGAACGCCCTCTCGAGGACGTAAAGATCAACAGCCTTGTCCTCATCTTGTATGCTAGCAGTCGTGAGACCAAAGTCGATGAGGAAGATGTCGCCAGCTAGCGAGTTGGTGTTGGATTCTTGCGGAGGGTCTGCAGGAGGAAGGTCTGGAGGTTCTTCGCCGTTCATGGCTGCTTCGCGGAGTGTGCTCGTTGTCTGTTTTCCGCGTGGTATTCGTCGTTGTGGTTGTTGTGCTGGAGTGTCTTGCGACTTGGATGTTTGTAACATTATGTTGCTTGTTGTGAGATCCCCGTGACATACTCCCAGTTCGTGCAGCTTGCCTACTTCCCGTCCGACTCTTTGCATCAGGTCTAGTATTTCTTCCTGTCCTTCCTGCGCTTCTGCATTGCCACTCGCAGCTGCATCTCCTCCTCCAGTCTCCGCGTCTTTCTTCTCTTTTTCCCTCTGTGTTACTTGATGTGCCCACCCGTCCAACACTTTCCTCACAGTCCTGCCATCCACATACTCCAGCACCAACCAGCCCGCATCCCAGTCCGCGCCAATTACCCCCGGTACATTAACGCCATCCCTCTTGACTCTTATAAGACTTCGTGCCTCGGCTAGTAACCTCTGCTTTGTAAGGCGCTTGTCTAGGGTAGGATGTCTGTATGGCTTCGGTGGGCGGTATTTGACGACGACGGGCGTATGGGGCGTGAGGAAAGTAGTCTTGTATACAAGGGCCTCGGCGCCTTGTGTTATGATTTCGAGCGCATCTTGAGAGAAAGGCGCGGGGAGCGTGTGGAGGGGACGCGACGTTTCGGGCGGTGGTGGGGGTTCGATTGGAGGGACGACAGGCGGCTCGGCCATTGCGATGCGATCTGTATTGATGGGCGTGGCTTGTTGCGAGTTCTTGATTGTGTATGAACCAGAAAATGAGTTATTGGATATGCAGGGCGTAGGTGATTTCGGGATGTGTGGTGTCGAGTGGAGATATTTTGGTGTTGACATCTGAAGCTTCGCAGTTGCCCCGCGATGCGACACCAGCTTTCAGCCCTGTCACGCTTATCGATTCTCTAGCTTCAACACCACGCGAGCATCTTGTCGATCACCGTTCAACGGCCATGGCCACACTGCAGTACCGAGATTAGCTTTTACCCTGACCGAGTCGCCGTTGAGCACAGATGGAGATTACTTCTCCGGATTTGCAGACTCATTTCATGAGATTGCAAGCTGTGTCACAGACATACAAGGGTTGCTGCTAGCCAGTGCCTGACTGTCTGGGGAAAGTAACCCTTGAGTCAAATCATGGGCCTCATCTCACAATTGCATAGCGCGTGTTTTGAAAGCGAGTGTGATTGCATTTAGGTATCTCATCCTACATGATCCACTCTTCCTTGTGCATCGCCTGGTTGTGGCGGTAGCGAATGGATTTGGTCAAAAGCACAGTATCTTCCAACAAACAATGGTAACACAGAACTGAAGCCCCAAGAAGGCAGTGAGCTCCAGCCACAGGCCATTGAGCTCACGTCCATAAAGCATATCCCAAATCGCCCGCCCAAATCGCCGGGCCAAAAACCGTAGAGCGTTCCCGCCATGCTCATTAAAAGCAGTTCGCATAAGAGTCTGGGGAAACAAGAAGAAGGGGTGGAAAAGGAGATCTTCCCAATGGGCAAGAGACGAATGGTAATCGTGATATTCGAAAGATGGCAAAAGTGACCTTGGTCAAGTGCAGCAAACAAATGAACTAACAAACAAGGAAAGCTTCGTAATGGGCCGTAACAAGAGGCGTCCGGAGAGCGCCACAGTAATATGCACAGGGGAAGAGACTCCCGGTTTTTGTTTCCAATCCGTGGTTGATAGCTTAGAACACGGTGCTCTTGCGCTTCTCAGCGCTGGTAAGAACAAGCTTGGGCATGCGGCGTTGGCCAATCTCCTCGGGGCGGATGTCGACCAGGCCGCCTCCAACAGAAGCACCGTCATCGCTGCTGACACTGTTGGCGGTGTAGGAGCGGTTGATGGAGTTGTCGCGAGACCGCTCCTTGGACGCCTTGCGCTCTGAGCCAATGGCGCCGTTGGCAACAGCGCGGAGGCTGCCGATGCTGGGCCTGCCCGAGAGGCTGCCACTTCCTCCGCTGCGAACACTGTCAGAGTCGTTGTCGGACGAAGGGAAGTGGTCGCTGTCCGGCGAGGCGCTTCCGCTGCCGGTACGGTGAGCGCGGCGGCCGATGCCAGCTCGCACAAGGTTGCCCACGGCCTGGCGGCGTTGACGAGTGGCAAAGTTCTTGCTACCCTCATGCTTGGTAGTGGGACGCTCCTTGAGCTCCTCGATGGAAGGAGGGTTGCGAGGCTGACGAACTGGGTGCTCTCCAGCGCGTGCTTGACCAGGGCCAAATGTGCCAGTCATCGGGGTGGCAGGGAAGCCGACCGGGCGGGTAAAGGCAGAGCGAGGTCCCTCCTCAGTCTTACCGTCAACCGCAAGAGAAGACAGGTTCTTCTTGTGGCCGCGACGGAAAGCGTTGGCAGATGGCGGTGGGAGCGGGACTACATCCTGGGGTGGGGTGTTGGACTTCTTCGGCGGCGAAGTGCTGCGCGAGCCCCAGGGGCTGGGGTTACTCTCGTTGGGAGGAGAGACGTGGAGCACTGGGGTATCAACCTTGGGCGGCGAAGTCGCGAAGCGGGGAGTTGGCGGCGGCGGCGAGTGCGACAGACCCGACATGCCATTCTGAGCCTGCATGTCGCCGTTGTCTTGCTGGTAGCTCGGGTCAACAACGTACTGGTACTGACCAGTCATCTGGTTGAAAACAAGGTAGACACCCGGCTGGTTGGTCTCCTGGATGGCAGCGGTGTTTCCAAACTGCTGACCGTAGGCGTTCATCTGAGGGGTGTACGGCGTGTTGGGGTACTGCTGTCCACCGCTCATGTTCATGTTGCCGAACTGCTGGGTCGTCAGAGCAAGGAGTTGTTGCTGGAGCTGCTGCTGCCTCTGGGCGAGGTAGAGCTCGGTAGCCAGGAGCTGAGCCGCAACGTTGGGGTCCATCTCGCCGTCATCGAACTCGAATTGGGGAGGGGCCAGAACCTGGTTGTAGAAGTCAGGCTGCTGCTGTTGCTGCTGGTACTGGTTGACACCGCTGAAGCCGGAGCCGATGGCAGTCTGAGGACCACCCTGGTTGGTTCGGTTGAACTGCCTGGAGTTGTTGGCGTTGTTGGCACCAATGTTGTGCTGGCGCTGCGAGTAGGGAGCCGAAGCAGGGGGCTGTGCAGACGTGGGAGTCTTGGGCGCAGTGCGGAGGCCGGCCAGGAGGTGGGAGCGGCTGGTGCGAGGAGTCGCAACCGAGTCCTCGGCGATGGAGGCAACCTTGGGCGGCGAGGCGACGCTGAGACGCTTAAGCTGAGCGCCCTTGCCGCGAGAGGCAAAGCTCGAGGTGGGACCGCCAAAGCCACCCTGGGATTGGAAGTTGTTGTAGGTCATCTGAGCAAGACCGCCAGCGTCCATGCTCATTGTGGTGGTCTAAGAAGAGTTGCGAACAAAGAGTAAGGTGCAACAAGGAGTATGCTAGGCGCACACGGGGAAAAATACAGAATCGAAGAAGGCCGGAAGAGGGAGTGTTGGCAAGACGGAAACCGGGCGTGCACCGACGAGACGTTTGCTGTGAGGCAAGGTGCGAATTGGCTGGCGATTATGGGATTAAGGATCGTACAGATCGGGATTGTAAGGTAGAGTTGATATCGAAAACCGGCCGATGGGCAATGTAGTTGGAGCTATTAACAAGTTCTTCGGGCGCCGTGTCGTTTGAGGTGCTGTCAGAAGGATCGAGTGGTGACGGCAGCAGGCGCGGTCTGGCAGCAGCGAAGATATTTATGAAGGGGAATAGACGAACAGGCAGCGACGGGATCACGGGCAGACAAGCTGGTGGTTGATGCGTCGGCTGGCGAGCTCTGCTTCTCTCGGGGGAGCGACGGGACTGGCGCGCTCGCACAATCTCAGATTAGGCGGGGGGTAAGCTGGTCCAACTGGGGGAGCAGGTAGAAGATGCAGAAGCGGCACTGTGTAGTCGAAGAGAGCGAAGGGAGAGAGGTAGAGGTAGAGAGGAAAGGGCGAGATGGAGGGGCCAGGAGAGAAAAGTGACGAGCAGCGGAGGAGCAGCGAGCCATGGACGAATGCGAGCGCTATAAGTGACGGGGGACCTGTGGCAGCGACAGCGACCCTGCATCGAGCCTAGCGCTGGCAGGCCCCCTGGCCGCGCTGGATGCACGCTTGAAACGCTGGGCCTGATGCGTAATGACTGCGCTTGGGCCGTTCCTGCGTGCGAAGGCCCTCGTGTGCGAGCTGGAGCACGTCGCTTTGATGCCGTGACGGTGCATTGCGCGAAGTTGAGTGCTGCTACTGTACACAAAGCGTTCGCTGCTCTCGCGGGTTTCAGGCGCTGGGCGTCATTTGCGGGATGCTCGCTCCTGCCGCACCGGGCGAGGGCCCTGAGCGCTCCTGCCCGACGCCACGACCGTACCTTCCTCGTGGTGCACCCAGCAAGGGCAAGAGCGACTGGCAAACAGAACCACCGAAACAGCGTCTTCTCATTGCTCGAGCCCTAAGCCCACGAGCACACCGCAAGACGTGATCCACTGCATCGATAGCGTCTATCTACGCCATCTCGGCCAGTCGTTCGTAGCGTCCCAGTAGTTACCAACGGCGGCTATGCGCCTGCGCGCTGCTACTGGCCAGTCCCATCGCGGCCACCGCAGCCCTTCAGCCACGCACACTCGCTCTAAATATACCCACCACCACCTGTTCACCAGCTCAAGCGACTCCTCTGCAAAGGCATTGGTGTGCACCCGTCTCTGCTCCGCAACGATGAACAGCGTGGCATGCGCATGAATGGATCCAAGCCCGGCACATCCCATCTCAAATCATTCACCTGTCTGTCAGCAGTCAGCGTCCAAATGTCCGCATCACCCACGCGCAATCTGCAATGCATGTCGTGCGGGAGGAGCATGCTTGTTGGCGTGTGCCGACCCCGGACCTGGCTGCTGTCACGCTCCCACTGCAGATCCAGCAAGATGCTCGGTGCGGCGGCCTCGCAATCGAGTCCCTTTTTTCCACCTTTTTTACACGCGTCGGCTTCCGCGGTCTTTCAATCGACTCGTGCCAATGCGCGTGCAGCCCCTTCTTCGCTGTCGCCTGCCGTTTCGTCCCGGGTCTACCCTGCTGTCTCGCTCTGAAACTGTCGCTCCGTCTCAACCACCGCAGCCCGTGCGTCGCTCCCTCATCTCGCTAGACTCTCCCTGCAGCAACGCCTGCCAAGCCAGACTTGAAAGCGTGAAACATGCTCTCGTTATCGTCACCTAGCGTTTGGGCCCCCGAAGCTGTGGGATGCGGAAGGCGCGCTGTCAGGGCGATGCTTGAACGCTGATCTCCATTCGCGTGTGGGGACGACGCCCCTTCGTATGGAGAAGTCTGAAGACAACTCACAGGTATGTATCATCGTCCAAGCAAGCTCACCAGTCGCGCCGCTACCGCCTGCTGTACATCGTTAGACTCGCTTGCCCTTCGCGAGACTATCGAATCTAGCACCGAGGCCATTCGGAGTGAACCCGGCTACCGGTATCGTATTGGCAGCCGTTCGGTCAGAGCCGCCGTCTTTAGCGGGCAGTATGACTGCTTACGTCCGAACCGGCCGATTGCCCTTCGAAAAGAACCTCATCAGAACGCTTTCGTTCTGGACCGGAAGCCAGCGGCAACGATTAGTGGGGCGCATGAGCCCGTTCGGGAGCGCAGAAAAAAGGCAGGAGTGAGGCGCAGGACTAGACACGACAAGGCAACACGAGGTTTATATGCCTCGAGGTTGGAAGGCTCGTCATGTCTAACAGAATGGTGCATCGCAAAGTCAGCATCGCCACACGTCTTATCCAGACGAGGTTCCTCACCAGACAGACAGCTCCTGCACCATCAGCGCTTGAGCACGCGCTTGCGCAGCTCTGTTTCACGAACACGATCGTCGAGGCCGTTGGAAATAGTGTGCCTCTGGCGCCGCAAGGCTGCATGTTTCGAAATTTCCAAAGCTTCTCGCCCACACATCGCGTAGACCTCCAATCTTTGCCTTGGCTCACCAGTGCGATGGCATCCTCCCACTGGATCGATGCTATTAGACATCGTCAATGGTGTACATAGTACTCTGGATCCTCCATTTCCTTCTCAGTACCACGGGATGAGAGACAAAGCAGCTGAGAAAGTCAGCTCTATCACCTTGTCCGCGCTCAGCGTAGTCACGCGGTCGTAGACTGATGGGGCATTCCAAAAGGTCTGGCCTCTTCCATGTGAGGGTAAGGAGTGCGCATCAATATGAAAGAGTTGACATGCCGTCAGCGCAATGCAGAGTAAGTTCTTCAGTTCATCTATCGCTGACGGATAATTTGGAAAACCGACGCTGTTTGACTGATGATGTTCCCGTACTATTTGGAACGTGTTAAACAAGAGGAACGACGCTGTTGCTTGAATTCGCACAGCCAATCGTCCAGTCGCATCTAGGAATCATCCTGTCACTTCTACCAGCCGTCCAGTCGCATCTAAGAGGTCTTTGCGAGACCCACTAGTAGTGTTTTCGCATGTTTGACACTTGGCATGAGACTCGGCACGAAACATCTGACACCACATGTTCATATAGCTCTTTTTAACCAGACTTTTCTCAAGCGTCGCGAACATCAGGCAAACTGTTTCGATCAGCGCCGTCGCCCGTTTTCCGATGTCTGCGGCAGCGTTAGTAACGGAGCGATGGAGGCTCTTAGGCACGCGAAAGAGGAGTATATAGTCACCCTCGACGCTGCGCATCTTCTAACAACCAGATCTGCAGCGCATTTCCCATCTTCTACTACCTTTCTACTACCATCGATATCCTCTACAGCATCCTTCTTAATATCCACTAATACTCTTAATTGTCATCCTGACATTTCGACTTAATCCAAATCATCTCAGCCTAATACAAATCATCATGCTTTTCTCGAACATCGCAATTGCGGCTTTGGCCCAGAGCTTGACTGCCTCCGCTGCCACCATGATGGTCACGGTCGCTGCCAACAACAAGTTCCAGTTTACGCCTAACTCTATTGTTGCCCAACCCGGTGACATGGTCGCTTTCAACTTTGTCAGCCAGGTACGCAACTGCTTCCATGACTTCACTACTACTCCAACAGATACTGACTCTATCCTCACAGAACCACAGTGTCGCCTCCTCCGACGCAAACAGCCCCTGCCAGCCCCAGGCGAACGCCATCTTCTCCGACTTCCAGCCCATCCCCGGCAACCCCAACGGCTCCCCAGGTGCAGGTGGCGCTGGCGGCGCTGGTGGTGCTGGCAATGCCGCTGGAGCTGCCGCTGCCGCTAACGGTAAAGGCAACGGCCGCAACCGCAACAACAACCGCCAAGCTGGAAATACACCCATGTTCATGGTCCCCGTCGTCGACAACCAGCCCATGTACATCTACTGCTCGCAAGCCCAACATTGCCAACAGGGCATGGTCATGGTCATCAACCCGCCCAACGCTCAGGCCGTAACTCAGTACCAGAACCTCGCTGCTCAGGCAAACAACAACGTTTCTCCCCAGGGTGGCATCAGCGGCGGACAGGTCGTCAACAACCTCGCTGGAACTACTCCCAAGAGCGTCCTCGGTGGTACGGCTGGTGATGCGGCAACAGCAGCGAAAGCGGCTACAAACGGCAATGGCAAGGGCAAGGGTGGCGGTGCTGGTGCTGGTGGTCTTGCTGGATTCCTTGCGGGTCTTGGTAAGAACAACGTCGTCGTTGAGACCAGCAACAAGAAACTCTTCGGCTTCCCTGGTGCTGGTGCTCTCGGTGGTGGTGGTGCGGCCGCGGCCCTTGCTGGAGCTGGTGGTGCTGGAGGTGCTGGCGCTGCCGCAGGTGGCGGTGGTGCTGGTGCCATTGCTAAGAGCGGACTCAAGGGTTTCCTTAACGGACTTGCTCAGGGCGCAAACTAAGCATGCACATTAATAGAATAGATATATTTGGTTTAGTAGGAGGTCGTGGGTATGGGATTGGAGCTGTATGGTATAAGCACGACGATATCGATGGTAGTAGAGAAAATGCTGGTCATTGAAATGTAAACAGTAGTAATATATATACATATGTCGTATGAAATTATCCGAATGACTTCTATGCATTTCGGTGAGCGCGTCGTGGGAAGTTGGGTTGGTCGCAGTGACGTCACTTTCATTTTCGTAAGTAGCTATTGTTCAGCGACACTCCTTCACCCACAAACCAAACAACAGACAGCGTATGATATACACATTTATAGCTTACCTTGAGCGTTTAGAAAGATGCTATTTAGTCGATACCGCCATACGTCGTCACTAACAGGACGCATGTCATCACGACCCAGGGCGCGCAGCAAAGTGAGAGCAAGTACACACTGTATCCAGAACAGTAGTATGAAGCCGAAGTATTCGCCGTTCTTTGTCTAGCACAGCTTCACTTGCTATGTTCTTTGCGACGGTACAATGGTAAGCCACAACAATGGTAAGCAGATAGACAGCTGGCAGCTCACTGTCCATGCGTCCACAAATACCTTGATATCGACTTCTTCCAACCTCCAGACACGACTCCTACTCCTCTCACATTTTGCTTCACGATTCAATCTTGCAATTAAATCGACATTCTTTATACAAGCATCTCCTTCAAGCACTACCAACCATAACATCGACACCAAAGTCCACAACCCACACCCACCAAACACGACAACACGATGCTGGAAACCATCTCACAGCTGCTGGCCCAGCTCACCATCTTCTACCTCTCCACCAAGACCATCGTTTCCAGTTTCGACTTCCCAATTCTCAACATCTCCATCCTCGTCAACGACACTACACGGCCCCCGTCTTCTCTTCCATCCGCCCAGGCCCGTTCTCAGCCCAAGCCACACATCATCAGCAAGCAACGGATACCAAAGACGAAGAAGCCAAGATGCAACATCACCCCCAAGATCAACGAGCTATCGTCTCCTGGTCTCCAGTGTGCAACTATGTAATCGGTCATGGAGAGAGAGACTGGAGAGTGTTGAGCGCTGGTTCGCTAAGATCTTGTCGTATATGGTAAGTTGATTGCAGGCCCACTTTTATATACCTTTTACTGATCTTGATGGCAGATTTGCAGCAGTGAGCGTTGGTAGAGTCTCTGATATTCGAGATCAGTCAAGAAATAGAGGAATATGCGGGGTTTCACGTTCAGGTTATGCGAAGGGCTGATGGGTGTTTTTTGCGATTCTTCCCTTTTGCTTATCGACAGGATCGAGGGTCTGCTTAAAGTGTATTTCACCATCGTATCATACGGAGCAAGATTGGAGTACTTTTTGTATAATTTCGATAGTGTCCTAGAATTCGAAATCTACTATTGGTCTCTATATGCAAGCAGTGTATGGAATCTATGTACTGGAACACGTCTCCCCCATCATGTCCCTGTGTGGCTTCATCGCACTCAACGACGCTTGCCCAGCATCTCCACACCTAAGCCATCCTTGCCTTCCTCACGTGTAATCTGCTCGGCAGCCTTGACGAGATCGTATGTTATGTCGTCTCCAACAACGCTATCCTTCTTGTAGTTTGGATGCGTTTGGACGAAATGCCTGATCCACTTGGCGGCAGTCCAGTATGTTCCATTGGCGCGTTTGCGGATCAGGTCCAGGTACGTGGCTAGATCGCAACGTGTTTCAACATCGACGTTCATGCTGTTGAGGTAGGATTCCACAAGCGGGATGAGACCCGGGAAGCCATTGCCATCGGAAGTAGTCTTTCCGTTGATGACTTCATTGATGGTCATCTGCTCATACTCGTCTTCCACTGGGCCGGTGGGCGTCGCTGGGCGACTGGCATTTCCAGCTGGTGTAGATGTACCCGTTCCACCCGACTTGTGTGCCGAGAAAGGGTCCTTTCGGAACCAGAATTTCTGCGTCGATACAGCGTCGCGAATGTGCGCTGTTTCCATGTTCTCGCTCACTAGTGTGATGGGAATGTAGAAGTTGAGGTTGAACGAGAGGATAGCACGGGTCAGTAGCACAATGAAGATTGAAAATGCAGCGTTTTCGAAATCTGTGATTTGGATCTCCATGGGCCGGAACTCGACGCGCCAGCCCATGTCGGAACCAGCTGGCGGTGGCTTGAAGCGCATGTGCTGCCAATTGGTCGACTGCAGGTTCTCAAAGTGGTCGGCCTTGGTAAGGTCCAACTCTTGAAGATCTTCGGCGAACACGACAATGGGATCGCGGATGAACAGGTGAGCAAAGTGTGTCGCTAGGAGATCGTCCATGCCACCCTCGACTAGCCGTTGCTTGATGTCGCTGTCAATGATGAGATCCGGGTCAAGATACTCAGGGCGTAGGCGAGGATCTTGGGAGATGTAGGTTGAGTTTGATGCGTAGCGAGATTTGGGTAGTCGCCATCGGTCGTTTTTGAGCGGCTGTGATGTGTCAGCGGATTCGTGATACAACAAGCACATGACTTACCTTCTCCCCAAGTTCTTCGGGCGTACGATCATCGACCGCCCTGCTAATCTGGTTCCACCGCACATCGGTGTCGGCCAGGAAGCCCTTGTAGATGGGGGTCGCCGCCGTCAATGCTAGCAGGATGGGTGCTATCGGACTGAGCTGGTCGTACATCTTCCTTCCCTCTTCAATGTTCTTTGCTTGGAAAGTGATCTGCAGACAGCAGCTTCCCATGCCAAAAGCCATGGCATCCATGTGGATGTAATTGTCCTTGGCAGCACCATTGCGCACGTCATCATCTTCAGGCCAGTTATGCATGTCATAATTGACTGTAGGATCCTTCCACGGCCATGGCGTGTTCTCGTCCTTGAACACAGGGACGTTTACTTCGACCTTCCGGCCCCTCCGCCAACGAATGTTTGCTGCCAGTGTGGGAAAGCGAATGTGTGGGTTGGCAATTTCGTCCGGAACAAACTGGGAGCGCAGCTTGGGTCCTGAAACAGGATATGATGGTACGATACAATCGGCCGATCCAAGACGAGGGAACGTCGTTAATGTGATTGGAAACTCGGTCTGTGCCATGTGATCCTTCGCTATGGTTCGTCTGCAAGACAGGTGAGCAATCACTTCATCGCCGATGAGGTGGTCTGACCTACCTCCATTTCATGTTTGGCTCAACATCAAGCAGGTCCTTGAAGCCAATGCCCCAGGGCTTCCCAGGAGTTGCTTCGAGCATGAATCTGCCGAACTCGGGATGGAACACCGGCGCCGGGTTTTCCTTCGCGCTGCCATGGTCAGTACAAGACGTCCAAACCTGGACAGTCAGGCTCACTCGGCGTCTCCGGTTTGCAAGTCAGGCACTCCGCCGCCCTGCTGCAGAAGCTTCTCATCGTTGGCCAGGGCAGCGAGGATATCAGCCTGACGGAGCGACAGTCGGACCTTGCGGTTGTCCTGGTCATAGCAAACAACCAAGTACTCGATCTGGACGGCGGTCAGTCGCCGACGCTGCAACGGACGAGCGGATGGTAATCCTTCACCTCATCTCCCCAAAGAAGGGCATCCCTCTCCTTGCCTTTAGCATTGCGCCAGATAGCGAGTAATTGCTGTCAATCACATCAGTACGTATTCCTCCGGGGTCTTGTCACGGAGCGTACTTCAATTCCCCATGACCTGACCTGGCCAGCAACTTTCTTGGCCTCTGGCCAGTCAAGAGGCGTTCCAAGGGCACTTGATATGGCATTAGCGAGGGCGGCGTGCAAAGTAGCACGGATCTCACAGCAGACCCATCCCCAAGTTCTGTAAGGCGTTGCGGTAGGCAGTCCAATGCGGGTTGGTGCACGGGCGGGCCGAGCAGACGTGTGAATGGGTGGCTTCTCGTCTTGAACGGCGATTGCGGGGAGGTGTTCGGGGAGCACTGCAGATTATAGGACGTTTAGCGGGGTTTGATGCAACGCAGGGCTTTTGCAGTTTTGGACGCGCTGCAGACGCCTCGGTTTCCTGCGTTATCAAGGGATCGTCGGATGGCGGGCGATTGAAGGAATAACAGTTTCTACGCGCTCCGCTGGCATCGACGGGCAATTTGCAGAGCTAGAGTCGGGTGTATGGATTATTAATGCGCGATGCAGTAAGCAATTCCTGTGGCCCCTTCCGAGGAGGAAAACCCCGCCGATGACGCTTGCCTCTTTGGTAAGCTGGTCACGACATCAACTCACTGTGACACTTCTGCTGTGCGCGCATTCCATCTTTGTTTGCGCAACATGGTTGGGCATCCTGACAGCGAGCCCGCATGTGCAAATGCGCACGGCGTAGTCTCCTGCTGCCCACAATGCGCCTCGCCTACCGCTGTCTTCAACCACGTGCACGCATGTCGCTACGCCGCGCAAAGCCCTCCTACTGGCGCAGAACCACGCCGCGTACCTAGGTAGAGAATCCCGATAATGTACGTTGCGAAAGGGTCCCCTTGGATACCATTGTCGCGGGCCGCGGGCTCCGGTGGCATGATACCGACTGCGCCGCAAGTATTGGCTCCAAAAGCATCGACGACTTGTCTCTTCTTCGCTCTACCAAGCCGGCTCATTTCTTGGGCGGTGGTGTTGTCTGAGCTAAGCAACCGCCACTGCGGTACTGCACGACCAGGATCGGCTGCTGCTAGGCGTGCCGCACACTTTGCATCGTCGAGGTGCACATCGCCTTGCATATTGGGGGCACCAGAACGCAAGGTTATCGTGTCCTCGCTACTCTGGGCCTTCTGCAGCTACTTGGGTTGCAAGGTGCGACTCCGATGAGTTGTTATTCGACAGATGATACAATATGCGGGCAGCCTGTTTATATTGGGACGAGCCTGCGTCAGTCGTGGGCTGTGGTGCGAGCACTGCGGTACCATTCTTCATACATTCGCGGAGCAGCAGCTATCATACGACTGTGATGCGCAAAGTGAAACAGGATATAAGGTATTAACTTCTAGATTCAATAATTTCTACGTCGCTGGGCCTGAAAGCCGGTGGTATCTCTTTGTAAACGCCTGTCAAAATCCCCAAAGACTCGCACACTTCTAGTAAAGTGTGTCGCGCAAGAATGCCTAGAAGAACAGTAATCGTGAGATGGTAAGCGCTTGTTTCGGCGCACCGAAACGCCCAACCTATGATCGAGCCATCCTAGCAGATGGTGATATACAGAGAACGCCTTCAGCCAGTCTGCGGGCCTGGAAACCCTTGTGTATGTGCCAAAATGCAACTACTACTACTAAAAGACAAGCAAGAAATAGACCGTAGTATACGTGAAGCCCTAGTGCCGAGCGTAGCATGATGTTCTGGATCCGTTGTGGGCAACATCGGTGTGTTGACACGGAGGCACCGATTCTCCCGGTTCGCCGTCTCCTCCAGAGTCGACCAAGCCGTCTCAAAATGACGTCCCTAAAAATGGTATATGGGCCCGCCGAAAATGTGAATGATACAGGGTCATGGTCTCTAGTAAGACCCGCCAGTAGGCATGGGCCCTCTTTGTAAATGCAAACAGTATCTGCGCCAACACTCCTATGTAGTGAAGATGATGGAGACGTGTGATGGTGGTAACAAGCCCCAGAAAGATGTCGAAGCAAATATGTACGGCTCCAAGGGCGATATGTCGGGTTAGGAAATTACTGTGGTCGATAATCACATCGTGGGTGAACCATGGTCAATGGATTTGGGTCGTAAGTTTGAGCTGGTCATGGCTTGCTTGCCACCCATTTTGCGGGTGAGCTTTGCATAATCTGAAGGCAATGTTAGTCTGGGAACACATATACTATTGTGAATTGGCAACTTACGTAGACCGCATGCATTGCATAAGGTCCTGGCGCCATCTGGCCCTCTTCGCCACTCAGGGGTCTCGGCTCTATTGCAGCTATGGCATCGACCTGGCGGCGCAGCTCGCTGTCAGGTGTGTCAGTAAGAGTAGTCAGTCGGTGGGGTGTGGATCACTTACGCCTCGTTTCCGAGTCTTGTTATCGCCACCCGCAAAGCCGCCCATGCCTTTGTTGTCGTCACCGTAGTTGCTTGCATTATCATCGTAGCCATTCATCGGTCTATACCGTGGATCCTGAGGAGGCTCCACGATGCTCGCCTGTTGATGATTGAAAACGACGTCTCGCATTCGCTGGAGGGACATCTGAATCCTCTCGCTTTGCTTAAGCATATCGTCGACCTCTTCTAACCGGGGCATTGACTGTGGTGTCATGCCAATGCGTTGGTTCTCATGCGCGCGCTGTCTGTAGATCTTCGAAAACTCTGCAATGCGTCCGGATCCGTCGGCCATCTCGTTGAGGGACGCCTCAAGATCGAAGCTCTCTAGATGGCGCTTGACTGACTCGCCGTATGGAGCTAGACTTGATCGACCGATCTTCTTCTCTTCCAAGCGAGCCATTTCGGAGTTGTCCTGCCACGATTGTGGGGGATAACGGGGTGGGGCAGAGTAGGTCGAGCTTGCCGGTGGGTAGGCAGAGTTAGGAGCACTTGCTAAGGGGGCCGATGAAGGATAGCCAGGGGGATACTGCGTGTACGGATAATGATGGTTCATGGGTCCCGTTGATGGAGGAGCAGGGCTCTCGTAGGTAGCTGGTGGTGGTGGATATGTCGGATACGAGACACTGGGGCGAGTTGCGCTCGGTGGCGGGGATGGTGCCGTCTTCAGTGGGTGAAGGGCAGGTAGTTTTGAGTTGTGCTGAGGGGTAGAATACGGCGGCCGTGGATCTGAGAAGGGCGGACGAGGCAGGGCTTCTGACTGAACCTGAGGCGGTTGTCGGGAGACTGTGGGTGATGCCGGGGCCCCGACAAATGGACTTCTTGGGTATGTGAATGGGTTGGAGGGTCCTTGGCTGGCGTGCTGGAGGTCAGATGGGAAGTGTCGTGGCCGTGGCTCGGCGGGAGAAGCAGCAGCAGACTGGGGATGATAATGCTGGGGAGCTGAAGTGATGGCTGAAGGTGGAGGCACTGTAGCTGGGAATGGCAGCGGCTGTTCCGAACCTAGGGCTTCATGTATCGATGGCAGGGATTGCCGGGCCGTTGGTCGTTGCGACTCTTTCTCGTCGCCAGAGGTCCTGCGTGAGTCGGGAGGAGACAGTAGGCCTCCAAGCGAGCCGGGTACTGCGCTGGCGACTGACGATTGGTGATTGCTGTGCAGATGCGGCGGCCCCGCGTAGGGGTGCAACGGGCTGGGCATGGTAGCAGCAGCGGCGGCAGAGTGTTTTCTCTGATACTCGACCTCTTCGCGCTTGACTCTATCGGCGTCCATGTGGTTGATTGACGGCAGACCAATGCTACGGCGAACAGTCAGCACCCGTACGGCGGGAAGGGAGCGGGGGGCCAAACAACATACCTTTGCCTGTTGCCGGCATCTATGGTTTCCATTGTGGGTCCTGTGTCGGACGGGTCCTGGTGGTGGGATGCGACAGCGAACTGCTGCGGCAACGCGATGGCGGGGAATCGTGGGTGCCGCGACGTTGATGTACCTTCCCGCACAACGTCGACCAGCACGGAGACCTGAGGTCGTTCCTTCCCGCACAAGGTCAATCGCCACG